CAGCTCCTAACCAACGCACCACTCGGCCAGCCCCCCGTTAATCTATTGATTGCTCACCATTCCTTGTGTAGATCCTCATTTATTCATCTAATAAAAGATGTAAAATAACATTTTTACATCTAATTCTCTAGTTTCAATTTCTCTTATTGCATTATCTGGAAGGATCTCCCCACACACACCTCAGTTTTTCTTCACTGCTATTTATTTCCATTACTCATGAAAATGTCTTAGTTTATTTCTTCATTTTCTGACTCACCAATTAGATTTCAAGCATCATTGAAGTCAAGACTTTGCTTTTTTAGTTTTTACTTCTTGCATCCCTGGTTCTCAGAGCACCGAATAAATATTGGCTGAATGAAGCAATAATAAATGACCTCAAATAATTCTCCCCCAAGTATCAACATCCCCATTTTTATAAATGAGGCCTCAGTTGCTAACATGTTAAGTAATTTACCAAAGCTAGTGAGTGCAGAGCCAATTCCAAAGCACAGGGTTACCCAACGGCAAAAAGCAGGTTTCCCAATTGTCATGCTACACAGCCTCTTTCTGCAGAAACAGAATGGAGAAACAGTCTGTTTGATGTTCATAAAAACCTGTTGATCTTTCTCTAAGAATAAGTAATCCCAATATCTTTATCACCTCTTTTTATACTTCTCTCTCCCTCTGGACATCTATTCATCATCTGGATAAAATTGGACCAATTTGTATCACCTCTGGCTAGCTTCTAATATATGTTTGTCCCGGCCACTGCCACAAGGGAAACAAGCACTGTTTTCAAGAACATACATGTCCAAGTTTAATGAAACCAAACTTCATAACCCATCCAACACACACCCTTGTCTCTTGGTTTCATCATAACTAGGCACTCCTTTACTTCACTACTTTTCATGAGATTCCTCTTCACTTTTGTGTATTAATGCATACCTAGTGTTAACATAAATGTACCTAGTCAGTAGAGAAACACATTAGTTATATGAAAGAAAACAGTGAGGTTGAAGGTACCGCAGAGATCACAATATATGGTGATGGAAGGAGAACTGACTCTGGGTGGTGAACACACAATGTGATATATAGATGATGTGTTACAGAATTGTACACCTGAAGCCTGTGTAACTTTACTAAAATTGTCACCCCAATAAACCTTAATTAAAAAAAAAAAGAAAGTACCACAGAGATCTTTCAATATGAAATCAGAAGTGCTCAGATTAAATAAAGCCTCTTAAGATAAACCTGGGGGCTGGCTGAGTGGTGTGTTGCTTAAGAGCTGGCTTGGGACGCCAGAGGACCCTGGTTCGGATCCCACATGTGAGGGCCAGTGACACTGCCCTCTACAGCTAAGATGCTGAACAATGGCTCAACCTGGGACTGGGCTGCCGTGAGTCGCCAGCGATGGCAGGTGGGTTGCCATGGGCTACCGTGTGTAGTCAGCAGCCAGCGTGAGTGGCCAGTAGCTGCTGTGAGTGGACACCCAGAAGCTGGAGACTGATCTGCCTTGTCCGGGAGGAGCGCAATGATGGTGCCAACTTGGGCCAGTGGGGCAACGTCCTCCACAACTAGACTGAAGAACCAAAGGACAGCAACTTGTCTGTTCCCCTTCCCCCAATTTCACAATAAAAGAATCTAAAAAAAAAAAGATAAACTTGGGTATGAACTCCCAAATAAATACAAGCACATTGATCACAACTCTCAGTTTGTATTTTGGACACACTCTAAAAATATTTTACCATCTTTTAACCATATTAAATACCATGCAAAATACTTTTCTGTATTCTTCTCATTTAGTGTAAAAGGAATTGGTATATGGAAGTGAAACTCATTAAAAGTAATGTGGTTTAAATTATGCCATTTGATATAGTTATTTAAACTACTATTTTGCGCTGTGTTTTTATCTATTTAGGAAAATTCTCAGCCATTATCTTTTCAAATATGGCTTCTGCCCCATTTTTCCTATCTCAAATTTTTGGGATACGTTTATGTTAGACTATTTTTCTGTTTTCTTTTTTCCCTTTTTTTTTACTCTCTATTTTTCACGCTTTGGTCTCTCCAAGCTTCATTCCAAATGTATATTTCTGGACTATCTTCAGATTTACTAATTTTCTGTTTAGCTCTATCTAGTCTGCTTTAAACCCATCCATTGTGATATTAATTTTTACTTATTGCATGTTTCAGTTGTAGAATTTCTTTTTAATTCTCCTTAAAATCTGTTATGTCATTTTTATGGTTTCCAGTTTTGTGCCCAAATTCTCAATCTTGTTAATCTCCTTGAACATGATTAGTGTAGCTACTTAAGTCATATATTGTTTGTGTGTATGTGTGTGTGTATACATATATATATATATATATATATATATAAATTGTGTATAGTTATATATAGTATACATACATGTATGCATATTTTATTTAAAGCTTATATATAGCTATATAAAACTATGTATGTAAAGCTTATATATTTATATATATACAATGTATGCGTGTATAGTTCTATAGATATCTACAGATATCTATACTTATATAGCTATCTATATGTCTATATCTGTATCTGTATCTATATCTATATATCTATAGAAAGATATAAAACTACACACACATACACACACACACACACACACATTGTATTTCCCCATGTATATTCATTTCCTACTTTTATGTATACTTGGGAATGTGTGTGTGTGTGTGTGTAAAAGTACACCGTTTCATAGTGGTTTTGATTTTGAAAGAAGACGAGCCTGGTTTAAAATCCTGGCCCTCACACTTACTACTGTAGATGCTTAACTATGAGCAAATTAACCTTTTTTACAGCCTCCATATCCTCAACTGTAAATGAGAATAAAAATGTGTATCTCATAGGTTTATTATAAGAATTAAGCATGATAATGTGTGTGGTAATTATTAGAGTTTCTGATACATACTAAACATACATAAAGTGGTTTTTTTAGTAAGATTAAAGGTTATATGATGTCACTTAAAATTAAGGAGCTGTGGATAATGATACTTTTTCTCCAAAGGCAAGTGATGACACAGAATGAGCGTAGCCTTCAAAATCAGACATATATGGACTCTACTTATTTTCTCCAAGTACCATTTATGTTGGCAAGTTACTTAGCCTCTTTGTTTCTTCATTTCCTCACCTTGAAAATGAATTTGAACCATGCGCACCTTGCGAGGCTGATGTGAGGATTCAATGTCACATATGTATAGTTTCTGTCAGAATAGCAGACACGAGGAAGAAACATCTCTTCAACATTATCATATTCGAATGTAATATTCAGGTTTTTACACTTTGTTAATATTTGTAATTAGTAGTATGATTGAGTTTGCTGATAACTTAGGAAAACATAATGACAGAGTTTAAAATGATTAAATGATTCTTTTTTTTTTCTTCCCTTTTGATAAAGTTTTTGACACGTTGCCGCCCATGCGCTATCAGGAGACCATGAGCACCGTCCTGACCTGGATCCAGCAGTCAGAAACCAAACTCTCTATACCTCAGATTACCGTCACTGACTATGAAATCATGGAGCGGAGACTCAGCGAGTTACAGGTCTGTGAATGTGTGAATGTCTTAAACACTGCAGTGCACATCTTATCTACCGAGCAATCACATTGGTGTAACCTTAAAATAATATTAGAATAAAATAACTGTGGCAAGTATGATAGCTTACCAGTTGAAAAAAAATGAAGACTAGACTTGAAAAAATTGAACATCCTATGCGTTTGTGCCTTCTATCTAAGCTGAAACTTCCATCTTTGAAAACGATGATATGGCCTACTTATGAAGTATATGCTTTCTCATTTAGTGTGATTTTAGACACATTGATTTTGAGTATTATAAAAGCTGTGGTATTATTTTCCCCCTTTGCTTGCTGATTTCTATCTCCTCTCATATTTCCAATCAGAAGGAGGTAAAATCAGTGTAGTGGTAAAATTAGTTTCAATTTAAACACTAGTCTTATGCAATAATGTAGTTAGTTATTTGTGTTCTAATAGCTATGTTTTTAACAGCCTGATATTGGGATATATTAAATGCTTATATGGTAAATGAAAGAAATAATTTATAAGAGATTTAGAATCTTTTCCTAGTATCTTTGAAAAGCCTGTTTTGTATAGCCAATCACATTTTATTTTTTAAGATATGAAAACATACTCATTAGTTATATTTAGGAACTGAAATCATATATCCATATTTTTAGAATAAAATTAAGAAAAGATGAAAATTTTAGCTTTGTTATATCAACAGTTCTTTTTTGAGAATGAGATATTGTTTCTTAACAAAATTATTTTGTCAAATTAATTTTTTAAAAAACATTTCCTAGTGTATACTGTCCTACTTACAAAATTTACTATAATACCAAACACATTGTAACTATTTAATATTTTTTTCCATTTATATTGTTTTTAATACTTAGAATGATTCCAAATTTACTTTGAACAATATGTGACTTGATAGAACTACAAACTTAAAAAAAGTAAGAGTACCAATATATAGCAACTAGGGGAGTGGATTAAATACACAAGAAATGGTGCATTAATGAGTGGAAAAGTATGTTTCTACTGAAAAAACAGTGAAGAAAGGAAAATTATTTATAAACATTATTCAGAAAACATATTAAGTAACTGAAAAAAATGGAAGTTAGAACCTTGCATCAAATGTTACACCAAAACAAAATACCATATAAATTAAAAAATCCCAAGGGCCAGCTGAGTGATGCGTTGGTTAAGAGCTGGCTTGGGACGCCAGAGGCCCCGGTTCAGATCCCATATGAGGGCCAGTGACACTGCCCTCTGCAGCTAAGATGCTGAACAACAGCTCGACCTGGAGTTGGGCTGTTGTGAGTCGCTGGCAGCGGCGGCGTAGGCTGCAGCCCCTGCTGCAGTGGGTTGCCATGGGCTACCGTATGTAGCCAGCAGCCAGCGTGAGCAGCCAGCAGCCGCAGTGAGTGGCCATCCAGAAGCCGGCGACTGATCTGCCTTGCCCGGGAAGAGCGCAATGATGGTGCCAACTTGGGCCAGTGAAGTGACATCCTCCACAACTAGACTGAAGAACAAAAGGACGGCAACTTGTCTGTTCCCCTTCCCCCAACTCCCCAATAAAAATCTTAAAAAAAAAGTCCAAAACATTTTTATAAATGTTGGAGACATTTTTAATAAAAATCTTTAAAAAGATATGGGGAAGCATAAACATTAATGGAAGCAGTCACAAACATTGTAAAAATAACAGAGACAATGTAAAAGAAAAATGCGACCAATGAAAAATTTGTTTGAATAGGGCAAAAGTCATTAAGGAAGTCACCAAAAGGGTACATAAACAACCACTAAACATATGAAAAATTATAACTCGAATTGTAAAGGAAGAAGTACAGATTTACAAAGTGAGATATCATTTTTTACATGCTAAATTTCAAAAGAAAAAAGCCCCCAACAAACCCAAAAGACATAATAAGTGCAGATCTGGCAGCAATGTGCTATATTCTCACTGACTAGTGGAGATGTAAATGAATATACATTTTGCTAAGGAACACTTTTCAATACCTTCTAATAACCTACAAAATAATTTCTTTAACTATTTCCATGAAGGCTATGTCTTATGGGAATAATCAGAATGTACTCAAAGATATAGATAGATCTTAAACATAATTTATAGAAGTAGAAAACTCAAAATTAATTTATAGAGCTAATAATGGGACATGGTTAAATGAACTAGAGAAGCCATTAAAATTTATGTTTTTGAAAAATAATGACATGGGTGAAGGCTCACAGTAAAATGCCCTGCTCAAAATGTAGTTTTATGCATGTTATTAATATATACATATTGTATAAATAGTCAAACAACAGTAAAAGTTTAATAAAGTAAAATAAAAGTAAAGTAAAAATTAAAATACCACAAAATATGTGTAAGATATTATGCAACCATAAAAGTTATTTGTTTGACATATTTTGGGTATGTTACAGGTCACATTATAAAAGTAGGAATAAATGTGTGTGTGTGCACATCATAAGATCAGATATTCAGTATTTAGTTATACATAGAAAAAAGTGGTTTATATAAAATCATAATATTGGGTTGTCGGGAAACTCATGATGCATTTTTGCATTGGAAAACATAGAAAAATGTGTCATAACTTTCTCGATGACCCAATAGTTGCATATAACGTGGATTTTCCATTTTTTATCTTGAACCTTTATTACTTTACACCAGAAAGTGACACTCAAATAAATATTGGGTTGTCAGAAAAGTCATGACGCAGTTTTGCGATGAAAAACATAGAAAAAAGACATCATAACTTTTCCAACAACCCAATATAATGGAGCGGCCAGTTAGCTCACTTGGTTAGAGCACAGTGCTCATAACACCAAGGTTGCCAGTTCGATCCCCATGTGGGCCACTGAGGTGTGCCCTCCACAACTAGATTGAAACAACTACTTGAGTTGGAGCTGATGAGTCCTGGAAAAACACACTGTTCCCCAATTTATAAATACATAATAAATAAATAAATAGATAAATATTGAGTAGGGGAAACCTAAAGATAGGCATCCTATTAAAAGATATTGTGTGTGTGTGTATATATATATATAAATGTATACATATTTTAAGGAAAAAGCTGTATTAAAATTGTAATACAGTGAGTGATGCTAACATTCATTTGATTAACGCCTTCTTTTGAGCGAATGTCATACTACACATTGCTATATATATATATATATATATATATATATATATATATATAAAACCCACTTTATAAATTGTCCCCAAAATTACCCTAGAATTTCACTGTAATACTACAAAACATACCAATGTCTTCTGAAAAATATGAAACTTTAGTAGTATTAGTAGACCATCTAACTGGTAACTTAGTCACAGTTTTGTTTTCCCATATATCAATAGGATTTAGTTATTTTTTTTACCTAGGGAGGTTAGAAGTTGTCCTCCTAAAGCCTCAGTATAATTAAGTCCAACTCCATTAACTGTATCATAAAAGCAGTTCTTAATATACAGACATGGTAAAATGAAATTAGGTGTGTGAAAACTCTGGTACTGTAAAATACAGTTTTGGATATATTTGACATTGTTCATAAAAGTAGGCATAAACTTTACAATAAAATATTACTAAATAATGTGAAAATTACTCTCATGAAAAGTAGAATTGAAATTACCACTAGTTATTTTATAATTAGTTTTACATCATCTGTTGTTTTAGGTATTTGAATCACCTAGCTTTTAAGTTCATTTCATTTAACTGAAGTTTGTCACCGGTACTGCACAATGAAACTCATTATTATTCATCATTTAGTATACATGTACTTTCCTTTTTCAATTTGAAGGCTTTACAAAGTTCTCTGCAAGAGCAACAAAGTGGCGTAAACTATCTCAGCACCACTGTGAAAGAGATGTCACAGAAAGCGCCCTCTGATATTAGCCGGAAATACCAATCAGAATTTGAAGAGATTGATGGCCGCTGGAAAAAGCTCTCCTCTCAGCTGGTCGAACATTGCCAAAAGCTAGAGGAGCACATGGCTAAACTCCGAAAAATTCAAGTAATTCCAGATTTTACCTTTTATATTCATTTTTTTCTTTACTCATTTCTCCCCTAACAATGTGTTGTAAAATTTAAAGGCAAATAAGGTAACTTCCTTAGTTGTTCAAAGTCAGTTATAAATCTTTCTCAAAGGAATGTAGTTTGCCTATTTTTTTAAAAAAAACAGTAATTAGGACTTCTGCTTCTTAGATTTTCTTTGAAATTCATTTTTTTCCACCAATACCAGTGGGATTTAAACATATTTTGAGCTCAAATAAAGTTCGAAACCAGTCTTTCCTTTTAGTCTGGTTGTGTTTTAAAATATAGCTATCATTTAGATTATGAATAAATAAAAAGTTATCTACCATGTAATATAGTCATATCTTTTCAGAGGATATTTCATTTATAATTATGTGTATAAACTTAACCCTGTCACCTTCCACAACCAGCTTCTGCTGACTTAATTGATTTGAATAGTGCCACCATATTAATAATTTCCCAAGCTGAAAATAGTAACAATTACAGTCTACTCTAAAGTCTAGAATATTTAGTGATATAAGCAATATCTCTCTTATGTGGTGAATTCTTGTGAATATTAATGCTGCTAAGAATCTTTGAAAGCATGATGCATGATAAAATAACATTGTAACAAGAAGCTTCTGTAATTGAATATACATATAGTCACAGATGTGGAGTAAAGCATAGGGAATAGAGTCAGTGGAACTGTAATAGATATATACGATATTAAAGGGGTAGTAGATTGGGGCAGGGGGGTTATCACTTTGTGAGGGGTGTAAAGTCTAAGTATTTCATTATTTTGTACACCTGAAACTAAAAAAATAAAAAATAAAAAATAGAAGAAGCTTCTGGATTTAAATCCCAGTTAGCTACTCAGTTGTTTTTCTCACCTTGTACAAACCAAAAGACTGAGTAGTCCTAAACTATTCTGTAACGTACAACATACACATGTACATGTTTCTACACATAAACATATGTGTGCATGCATATGCATATCTATATGCAAACATAAAAACACATTTTTGCTAGTGCCAATGGTAAAAGAGGGTACAATTACATGGTCCTTGCCTCGAAGGAGCCCACATTCTAGTGAAGGAGAAAGATAAGTGTATTAGTTTCGTATTGCTGCTGTAACTTATTACCGCAAAGTTAATGGTTTAAAACAACACAAGTTTATTATCCTACAGTTCTGGAGGTCAGAAGTCCAAAATGAGTCTCAGTGGGCCAAGGTGTAGGCAGGGCTGTGTCCTTTCTGGAGGCTTTAGGAAAGAATCTCTTTGCTTGTCACTTTTAGCTTCTGGAACTGCCTGCATTGTTTTGCTCGTGTCTCCATCTTCAAGGCCAGCAGTGAAATATCTTTCAGTGTCTCTAACTCTTACACTCCTGCTCTCCTTTTAATAAGGACCCTTCTGACTACATGGTGCCTGGCTGGAAAGCCCAGGATAATCTTTCCCCTCTCAAAATGCTTAACATAATCTCAACTGCAAAGTCTTTCTTGCTAAGTAAAATGATATATTCACAGGTTCCAGGGATTAGGACCTGAACGTATTGGTAAGTTATTATTAAGCCAGTACAGGAAGTAAATTAAACAGTATGGTAAAGGTTATGACAATAAGCAGAAAAGAAACCCAACATAAACTGGGAAAAACTGTTATGAAATGTTCTTGGAACATGGGTTATGTGGGCTACACCTGAAACAGGTAGAATTTAGTTGGCGAATACAGAGGGAGAAAGAGTTCCTTACAAAATCAGTTAACCGGAAGTGGTTCAGTATTGGGGAGACAAATGTATATTTGGAGATTAATAAAATATATTTTTAGAAAAATGGCCTGGGAGCAGATAATGAATGGTCCTGAATACCATGCTTTGGAATATGAATTATAACCTAATGGGGATGGGATTAAAACTAGTAATAATAATAATAATAATAATAATAATAATGTGGAACCGTTATTGGTATTTTAAAGGAAGAAAGGTATGATGATATATATTTGTGTGTTCAAAGCATCACTATGGTAAGAGGAAGGAGACTGACACCACTGTGGAGAATGGTTAGAGTGGGTGCGATTGAGGCAGGAACCAAAAAGAGCCAGTGCGGTAATCAAGGAGCTGATGAGATCTAAACTAGGACAATGGTAACATGGAAGAAGCATAAAAACAGACTTGAGAGATATCAGCAAAATGATGATGGTGAAATTGACAGTTCTTAGATTTAGTCAAATGCTTTTAAAATTATTATGAATCATATTAAAGGGGTAACTTTCTGCGAAGCACATATTTTGAATGGAAATTTAAAATAGGAGAAAATAGCACATCTAAACAGCATAGTTGCATTGTATGGAAAGAAAGAAGCTTGAAAAATCACACATTTGAAAAGTAGCCCAAGTAAGCATTTAGCAGTATGTGAAAGAATAATGGGAGGCACTTGACTATTTGTTTTTAACTCAAGTTTATTGGGGTGACAATGGTTAGTAAAGTTACATAGATTTCAGGTGTACACTTCTGTAATACATCATGTATATATGACATTGTTTTTCCCTACCCAGAGTCAATTCTCATTCCATCACCATATATTTGATCCCATTTAGGGTACTTGGCTATTTATAAATTATAAAAGAGGATAGTTTTCACCTGATCTTTACTTCAACCTGATAAGGCAAATAAGAAATTAAAAGCAAAAGTTTTCTCTTTAAAGATGACAGAATCTTGATCTGAAAGTTCCCAACTGGAGGGGCTATTTAAACTGTCAACTGCAAAAAAAACAATTTGTGGACGTTCAGGTTTAGGGAGGCTATAAAGACACCATGACATTGAGTTTAATGTTCATTGTTTGTTTTATGTACTGTAAGGACACGTTGTTAGTATTATCATGAGTTGTTGTGTAACTTAAAATTTCTCTAGAGGGGGATATAATTTAATGTTCTCGAGAGTAACATCATAAAACCACATTTGGTAGTAATTTTTTATTTTTAACAATAGCAGACTTCATACACCAGTGCTTATACAGTAGACCATAAAAATGCAGGCTCAGTCAAAATAGTCTTTTCCTCAAGAGCTACTTAGAGACATCCTTCAAACATGGGAATTGTTTCTGGGCTTGTGTTCAGACATATCACCATGACGAATTGTGGTACGAGAAATCAGCACCCCAACAATGCCTTACAATGGGTCTCTGATTCCAGAATCACATAAAAACCCTGAAGAAATGGATGGCTGAAGTTGGTGTTTTCCTGAAGGAGGAATGGCCTGCCCTTGGGGATTTAGAAATCCTTAAAAAGCAGCTGAAGCAGTGCAGGGTAAGTAAGATCTGTATAGGATACCTTCCATATGAAGACTTTTATACGGAAAATATATATATGTTTTTTGGTTATCAACCAGGGGCGATTCTCCTCCCCCCCCTCAACCCCGGGGGACATTTAGCAGTTTCTAGAATCATGTTCTTTGTCACAACCTGGAGTGGGGTGGATGCTGCTGGCCTGGAGTGGGTGGAGGCCAGGGATGCTCCTAAACATCCTACAATGCACGGGAGAGCCCCCCCACACCAAAGAATTATGCAGCCCAAAATGTCAGCAGTGCCAAGGCTGAGAAACGGGGTTAAGTAAATGAGAAACAGGAAAACATGGCCTTTTAATCAACCCTCACTTTACAAGATTATTTTGGTATAAGATGCCGTGGAATTTGAAGGTAAATAATCCTTTGCGCTATTGGTTATATCTTGTTACAGATGATCGGGCATACTATGCATATTGAACTGTACTATAATATATGCTATGGATTTTTGAAATAATATTCATTATACCACTTTCATGCAGTGGGAAGAAGATAATCTAGCTCTTTAAATAATTTCCTTTGCAAATACATGCTTAAAAAAGAAACCCACCTTACACATAACATTCACACCCATCATATTGTAACCAATCACTGCAGTATCCTGTGTTTGAAAACTAAAATACTTTCAAAAACAATGATGTATATAAAGCCCATTATTTTCACACATTTTTCTAACAAGAAATAGTAAATTTATTTCCTTTTGTACCTAATCTAAGTAGAGTACAGATCATTCCCTACTTCATTCATGCCATAAGAACCACTGAACATTTATTTTTTGCAAGGCTTATATTTAAGAATTGTGTGTGTGTGTGTGTTTCAGATTTGAAAAGAACAAAATTCATGTGTCGTATCATGATTCCTAATTGTGTGTTGCCTGTGTTGCATTTCTATTATGTTGATGTAATTTTTTCAGCTAGCTTAAATTTATTATTTCCTTAGCTTTTAGTCAATGATATCCAGACAATTCAGCCCAGTCTAAATAGTGTCAATGAAGGTGGGCAGAAGATAAAGAGTGAAGCGGAGCCAGAGTTTGCTTCCAGACTTGAGATAGAGCTCAGAGAACTCAACACTCAGTGGGATCACATGTGCCAACAGGTATGTACAGTCTCTTTCACCATGGATTGCCTCTATTATATTAAGATGTCTTAATGCCTCCCTTCTTCATTGTCCTTTTAAAAAGTGTAGTCTCTGACTAGGTGGAAGCTTTAATGCATGGTTAATTCACATCAGTCTTTGTCTAGCATGTAAAATATTTTCACAGTAGGTATTTTAAGTAGCGTGTATTCATCTTTTTGGGGGTCCTACAATGACCTTCTTGAATATAACTGTCACATTAGGCATTATTTTGATTGAATGTTTTCTCCAATGCATAACTTAATACTAGTAATTGGATGAACAAAAGATACTTTACACTTGTATACTTGGTACAGAAATACAATGAATAAAACTGTATTTTGTTGGTATTTGCTGTGTATAATGTGCACCCATATTTTTGGCTCAAACTTTCAGGGCAAAAATCTTTCGTTTTAATTTTTTAATTTCAATTTTTATTTGTTTACATTTAGGTACTTGTATTTTGTATTACAAAGGAATTTTAACGTTTATGTTTTAACATATTGTACAAATATTTTATGTAACAAATAATTGCAAAACACAAGAAATGATACAAGGTATAAGAAATTTTATGTACCGGTAACAAATTTATGATATTTATGTATCATAGAAGGCCAAAAACTCCTCGTCATTGGAAGTTTGTTGTAAATTCAACAAAACCGATTATCATATTCCAGGGTATTATTTTACATACAGATATCATTGATTTCTAGAGTTACACTTTTAACTCATAAGCATAAATAAAAGAATTGAAAACATTTGTATAGATACGGAATTAGTACTATCCATTTATAAGGCACATCCTTATTTTTCCCTCACAAATTTGGGCAAAAAAAATGCTCATTATACCTTTATATGGCAAAATACAGTATATGTGTATGTGCAAATATGACAAATAACTTTTACTTCTGATTGTTAAGATGGACAAGTTTGGCTTCTTCATTTATTTCAGTAAATGAATTAAGATTGGGAAATAGTTAAGAATAGCTTGGTAAAAAAACACAAAGTAGCTATACACACATCTGAGTTCCTCATTTTTATATAGCAGAGTGTTTTACAGATATTTATTTTAAATTTCAAGGTTAAATCATGGAAAAATAAATATTATATACACAAGTAGTGTATATCTAATACTTCCTACCCAAAAGATGAAATTTTGACCCAAAGTAATGATTACTTTTCAACACACCAATACCTTTTTTGAAATTAATGAGAGATTTCATTTTATGTGTATTTGAAGCAGTTAGTCTTTTGTTATTTCTAAGTAACCTTTCCAAGTTGAAAAGAAATCAGGCTAAAAGGCAAAAACTAAATTTGAAAAAGACAAGAATTTAGAAAAACAAAGTCAAGTCAAGTCACCCAGCTAATGCCATCACTGACAAATGCTCAACAGTTCTATTAACTCAGAGATGAGATAGCCCTGGGTCAGCTAGCTTGCATTCTTCTCTTGGAGTAAGCCAGTTCTAGAAGGGATGTTCGGGGGGGGGGAATATTACTTAGATAATAGATTATACCACTGATGTTTTCCTGGAAGGCTAGTATGAAAGGTATTTGTTTGTTGAATGTTTTTAATGGATTAATACAAAAAACAAACCAATTTATAACAAGGAAGAAAACCAGAGCAAAAATATGTACAGAATCAACAGTATTACGGAAATGTCCAGTTTTTTACATGTTAGAAAAGAGTATTTTTAAAAGCATCTCTATATTCTTAAAATGTCCTTGCTTAAGACCTTACGCCTACAATAAAATATACCAAGAATTTGGTGTTCAAGGCAAGTATTGTAAACATATTATCCAGCTGCATAACAAAAATTCCATAGATCCTGGCCACACTCTTGTCTCATCCTAGAATATTTTACGTCTCTCTGGTTCTTGGAATATCACACTGTCCATGCTCTGACTTTATCACCACATGACCTAGGTTTGTTTATTTTAAAACTAAATCAATGGTTCTTTATTATTCAGCAACTTCTATGAAAGTGGGTGTCCAGTTACAGTGAAAAAATTTCTTGTTCATGCTCAATTTGTTGCAGAGAGAGATAACATACATGGAAAGGAAAATTACTTCTAAAATTTGGGGGAAACAATATTGATATGGCCATTTAGCAGAGGCCAGGAATGCTGACACTTCTTTTTGTAATTAAATGTATTGGAGTGACAGTGGTTTGTAAAATTACATAGGTTTTAAGTGTATGTATCTATAGTATATCATCTGTAATATATATCACGTTGTGTGTTCACCACCCAGTCAGTTCTCCTTCCATCACCATATATTTGACCCCCTTAACCTTCTCCTATGATCTCCCTTCCCCCTTACATGACCTAGGTTTTGAAAGGAAGAAATCACGTACATAGTCAAGAAAAGAAGGAAGGCAATGCTTTAGGAAGCGGAAAAGCCAAGCGTGGGTATTGGAACCAATTCAGGGCTTCAGAAAGAGTGGAAATGAAATGTGCATCTATGCCGTACAGATGTGTCTACACACAAAACGAGGGGGTGATGTTCTTTCATGGGTTAAAGATAACTAACTCCATATTTGTTTTTAGATTTTACAGTGGAAAATCACAAATAATTAGGGACAAAATTATCCAAATGCCCGATATATTTGAAGATACATTGAGATCCCATGATCGGACTTTGTAGTATAAAATGGTTGAGATTATTTTAAATTCTAAAAGTGATATATTCAAATTGAAAAATATCAAGATTCTACCTATTTTTAAATAAAGGATAATTATTATGAAAATAACCCACATATTAATTAACCATACTTAAAAGATGGAAGGAAGAGTGGGAGGGAAGGGGTTTTATAATTATATATATCTTTATTATATTATATATTTATTAAAGAAATTAATCATATACGTGTAAATACATAATTTAGGGAAATTTTAAAAAAATTTTATTGGGGAACATTGTGTTTTTCTAGGACCCATCAGCTCCAAGTCAAGCAGTTGTTTCAATCTAGTTGTGGAGGGTGCAACTCAGTGGCCCATGTGGGGATTGAACCGGCAACCTTGGTGTTGGGAGCACTGCACTCTAACCACCTGAGCTAACCAGACACCCCTAGGGAAATATTTTTAAATTCATTACTTATCAGAATATTTATTTATTTAAACATATAATTACTAAACATTTTGTATCAAATATAAAACAGTATCTATCTGCATGCAGGCTATAGTTTAGTAAAGAAGATGGAAAGTAAACGAGTTAACATGATATTGCACAAATGCTTAATTTTAATGCTAATAAATGGTCTGCCTGGAGCCATCAGAGTGCTCTGAATGAGAATAACAAACGGGAAACCCCACCTCTTATTAGGTAGTCAGTAAGGTCTTTTCTGAAGAGGCGACTTAAAAGCTGGTGCCTGGTTAGCGAGAAGAGCCTGATACTTGGACGTGTGGACTGGGAAGATTGTGGATAGAGAATGAATGAAGCGGGAGAGACTCCTGAGGCAGAAGGATGAGTGGATGTGAGCCAGGAGGAAGCAGGTGGGAAATAAAGAGTCATGTCCTTCTTTTAAGTCACAGTGAGGCTCAGTGTGTCTGTCAGGTACATTGGGAAGCTATTAGACTCTTAGGCCCAAAAGTGGCATCATGGCAAGTGATTGTTTAAGTTTGCTGTTATCAGAAGAATACACTGAAGGGGCGTGCGTGGAAGCATGTGCGAATTGCAGTTGTCCAGGTAGGAAAAAAATACTGGCAAGGAAAAAAGAGGGTGAACCCTCGTTCGCTGTTTCTGGGATTGCAGATTGGTGCAGCTACTATGGAAAACAGTATGGAGGGTCCTCAAAAAATTAAAAATAGAACTACTTTATGATACAGCAATCCCACTCTGGGTATGTTTCTGAAGAGAAATCTGTGCTCTCATATTCATTGCAGCATTATTCACAATAGCCAAGATATGGAAACAGCCCAAGTGTCTCTCAGTGAATGAATACAGGGGACACACACACACACACACACACACACACACACACACACACACACACAAATACATGGAATGTTATTCAGCCATGAGAAGGAAGAAAATCCTGCGTTTTGCAACAACCTGGATGGGCCTTGAGAGCATTATGTTAAGTGAGATAAGACAGACAGAGGAAAACAAATACTGTATGATCTCACTTATATGTGGAATCTAAAGAAGCCGAACTCAGAAACAGAATAGAATGGTGGTTGTCAGGGCTTGGGAGGTAGGGAAAATGGAGAGATGTTGGTCCAAGGGTACAAAGTTCCAGATATACAATGAATAAATTCTTGGGACCTAATTTACAGCATGATGACTAGCGTTGACAATATCGTATACTTGAAAATTGCTACGAGAGTAGACCTTAAATGTTCTCACCACAAAAAGGAAAATGGTAGTTATGTGAGGGTGATGGAGTTGCTAACTTCGTAATCCTATCGTGGGAATCATTTCACAATGTAGACGTGTATCAGATCATTACATTGTACACCTTAAACTTATACAATGTAATCTGTCAGTTATATCTCAAAGCTGGAGGTGAAGAAAACGGAGTGGGGAGGGGCAGTGCTGAACGTTAGTTTTACAAATTCTGGAGCAGGAAGCATGAGGAATTTTCTATTTTATCTACTAGGTTGAGGCAATGTAATCTGCTGATAGTGTGAGGGTAGATCGGGCAATTTAGGGCTAGATGTTGGCATCACTGATGTGGTTAAGGTGAGGGTGAGATTGTCATTTTAGGGGTGGCTGGTTAGCTCAGGTGGTTAGAGCACAGGCTCATAACACCGAGGTTGCAGGTTCGATCCCCGCATGGGCCAAGGAGCTGTGGCAGACCCCCCACAACTAGATTGAAGACAACTACTTGACTTGGAGCTGATGGGTTCTGGAAAAACACACTGTTCCCCAATAAAAATTTATTTAAAAAAAAAGATTGTCATTTTAACCCAAATCTTTCATAAAAATCCTTCTATAATATGAAACCACAAAAAATACATCTTTCTCTCTGATCAGTCATAGAGCTGTGGAATGTTACATTTAGAAAAGACATTGGAAATCATCTGGTCCAACTGCTAGGTTAGTTACAAAGCTGAAACAAAGAGAAATGAAGTGATGTGTCCAGGTTCACTTAGCCAGCTAATGATCAAGTCCAGATATCCTGATTCCAAAGCTGATGTTCTTTCCAATACATTCATGCTGTCACCTCAGAATAATTTCCTGCCTTTCTTCCCTTAAAAAAAATCATTCCCGACCCCTTTCTTCTGCTTTAATTTTATAGCACGCCATGTTTTTTTACTACAAGTTTTGGCTAAGTTCCATTAGTCACTCTGATATTATTGTTGTTTTGTCAACTGCCTCTAAAGATTATAGCAGAGAATCTAAGTAGAAATTTAACAGCATGTTTATTTAGGCTTATTATAGGCTCATTTACTATGCAAAATAATCTTTCTACCTTAACTAGTATAATTGTTGGGCATGATGTTCTAGTTGTGTCAGAATGAAACGCTTACTTACATTTCAGTAGATCCGGTACTACATTCACCTTGGAGACTAAAGAACTTAAAATAGTTTTAATTTAACTAAATTAGGTTTAAGATGGTGGTAAAGTATAAGAAAAAATTAATATGATGGTTCCGCACATATTTAGTATTTGCTAAAGTACCATTAAAACTTCATTATACTAAAACTATGCATTACATATTAAGACTTCCCAATTCCAACTCCCACTTAAAAGATAGAATTCTGTTTAATCCCAGAGAGAAAAATAACATCATTTCATTAGAGTTACTTTTTACCATAAAAGACGAGCACTATATATAATCATTCTAATACTAAATTGAGCTTTTCCCTCAGTGTGGTATAACTGGGTACTTTGTAAGAAGCCATTAGCATGCCTGATGTTCCTGTACATGTTTTCAGCTTCGCTCTTCTTCTGGTTAGCAAGTTGGTATTTCAGAGATGTGTGAAGCTTTAAATCACAAGTCTATATTACCACAATACTGCTTAGCAACCTGCTTTTTAAACTTAAAATTATATACAGAACAACTTCCACTTCAGTACAGATGTATTCAGTGAAGAGCATCACGCTGCATGAGATTCCATTGTGTGTATATTTATCTCACAATTAACTAATCCTCCATGGAAACACCTTTCAGATTGTTGCTGTCTTCAAAGCTGACTTGAACAGTGTACATGCAACTTTGTATTCTTTGCTTTGTGTGGTTGATATTTAGAGTGGAAGAGTAGACTCAGGTGTATAAATGTTAAAAATTGTAATACTTTTGCCAATTTACTGTCTACAAGGTTGTGCTATGTTGGGTATTTCCCTCAAGAGGTATGAACTCTGGTTCCCTAGATCCCTGCCCAAATTGGGCATTTTTGCTAATTGTTTTGCTAATCTTACATATGAAAATGCATTAATTCTTTTCATTTGCAATCATTTCACTTTAAATGTTACTAAGCATCCTTTCACATGGATGGCCACATTTTAGTTTTCTTTCAACAAATTATATGCCTATGTCTCTTATACATTTTCTGTTTTTACTTTCTCATTTGTGAGAAGTATAGAAGTGTTAAGTTCCTCAGATATTTGAAATTTGTAAGACAGTACCAAAGAGCACAAAGAATAATTTCTATGTGTGCCAATAAACTTACTTTTTCAGTTGAAACATATCATGAAAACATTTTTTTTCCTATTCTCTATTTGGAGAAAAGCACTGCCACATGCAATGGCTAAATTATAGTTCTAGGGGAAACTGTTCATTTTATTAAGTATGCCAAGTAAATGGCTACATCTTATTTTAACACTTATGTGAAATTAAGCGTATCCAATTGTTGTGAGTTATTTTCCTCAATCACATCCATAAGCTTTTTACTTCTTCATTTTTTTCTATCTAAGCATTTTTTTATTTCCAGACTGCTCAACAATAATATAATGATAATGTTTTATGACTTTCAATATTCATGCTTTACTTGTTGATTTGTTTTATGGCAGGTCCATGCCAGAAAGGAAGCCTTAAAGGTAGGCTTGGATAAAACTGTAAGCCTTCAGAAAGACCTGTCAGAGATGCATGAATGGATGACGCAAGCTGAAGAAGAGTACCTAGAGAGAGATTTTGAGTATAAAACCCCAGATGAATTACAGACAGCAGTTGAAGAGATGAAGGTAAAATAAACCAAACAAAACAAAGAAAGAGAAAGGTGCAACATTGCTTGAAATGGTCCTTCTGCACAATGTGCTCTTTTCTTGGTTTAATAGTAGAGGTCGATTTTTAATTAATGGTGCTTCAAGTGTGATATACATTATGTGGAATTCTTAAACTTTTTATTCATTTGAATGCATTGTGGTCGAAATACAAACATTGACAATCACAGCTTAGCACATTGTACCCTTCAAATTATATAGTATTAGGAGATTGAAATCAGCTAATCACACTAGCTGTTTCTAGCTGATGCAAATTCAAATTGGGAATATGTCAGAGTATTATTGACATGACTGTTGACAATGTAGTCAGCCGGCTGTGTTCATTTGGTGGTTTAAAGGGGTTTCTTAGAACTTGGAAGGACTAAATATTTTAAGTGATGCCCTTTAATATGTTAAAAAGGACTGAGTTTACATGTATTTCCCTTCAAACAATAGGATAACAATGTAATAACATTTACTTTGGAGCTAGGAATCTGGTATGTAGTAGGGAATTGAATCTGCACAATGACATTTCAGTATGGCCTTGGGCAACTCACTAGGCAGTATAATCCTCTATTTTGTCATGTCTAAATCATCTCATTTCCTAACTTGAAAGTATGAACTAATGATTGACATTAACATGTAAGTAAATTGCCTCGTTCAGAGGGGGTACTCAATGATTAGCGGCTATACTAATAATTTCTATCCTTATGTAGTAGCAGTAACACACAATCTGTCCATCTTAGCCTGTGTGAAATATTGATAGATATTTGTTTGGCTTGAGGCCTCATGTCAGAGCAAAATTATTTTGGAGCCAGACACTTGGGTTTAAAACCTGGTCAACTGTGTAACCTTGAGCAGGTTACATAAACCCATTTTGTGAACCGGCTGTCTAAATACCGGCTGTCTAAAAACCGGCTGTCTAAATACCTAATTTGAGAATTAATTGAAGGGTGAAACACGAAAGTCCTAATGCGATGCCTGGCACAAAATAGATGCCAAGAACTCAATAATTATTACCATTATTGTTGATATTGATGCTGCATGGTCAGAAATTAATTGCATGTACTTGATTGTATTATGTATATGATCATTCAATGAATATGTGTTTTAATTAATAGCAGAAAGTACTCATAAAAATTCAGATGGGTACACAAATGTGGCTTTAGTCCCATGTGGAAAGTAAAATGAAAACATATAAGGAAAACTCTATTTAGATAGTGATAATTTCTAGAGTATTAAAAACTACAAAATCATTCTTATCAAATACCATGTCATTCATTTATTCATCAACAAATATTTATTGCATACTTACTATGTGCCAAAAAGCTTTCTAGATACTGAATATAGTGGTGATTCAGACATAAGGGCTACTTGAATTATTGGAATATACATATACATTGGAGGTGGGGGGGGATGGCGAGCAATGAATGGAGAAATAAATAAATAAACTCGGTTGAGATCATGATAATTTGCCTCAAAAGTAAACCAGGATTGTGAAATAAAGAAAAGTTAGAGTTCAGGTAGGACTTGGGATGCTATTTTAGGAAGTGTTGACTTGTAGGGCATTTGTGAGGAAGTATGTTTCATCTGAGATAGGAATCCTACGAAAAAGCCAACTTTAAACAAAATAAATCTTATTGAAGCACATTCCAATCAGAAGGAAGAGCTCATGCTAAGACCCCGAGGCTAACTGGGAAGAGAAAGAAGCCCCCCCCCCCCGCCCCGCTGAAGAGAGTAAACCGGGATAATTGACCTGAGATGATTTTGAGAGGGTGGGTAGATATCTGTTAACACAGGAGTTTTGTAGGATTGAGGAGTTTTTATTCCAAGTGAAATGGGAAAGCATAGGAAGGTTTCAAACAAGTGACTATCATGATTTTAAATTTGGCTATGGGGACGTCACCATCGAAAAAATTATGTCTTTATAGAATGTGAGAGCTAGAAGGTACTTTGTAAGCAAAAGAGTCCACACTTCTCTATGCTGATCAAAAAACTGAAGTCCCCAGGGAGGTCAGATAATTTAGTCATAGTCACAGGTTTTATCTGTGGTAGAGCCAATAGCATTTAATATATTCCATCCCATCCTACCCCATCCCATCCCATCCCACCTTATCCTCCCATCCCACTCCATCACACCCCATCCCATCCCATCCCACCCCATCCTCCCATCCCGTCCCATCCCACTCCATCACACCCCATCCCATTGCATCCTCCCATCCCATCACATCCCATCCTGTCATCCCACCCCATCCTCCCATCCCATCCTCCCATCCCAGTCATCATGTGACACCCCTGCTGCCTTTCTCCTCACATCTCTATCCCCCACTGGCTCTTCTCACCATCTCTTCTAATACCACATAGCCACTGCCTCAGACCCCTAAGCAGGTAATCAGTCAGCTTGTGTTCAGCTGCTCTGTTTCTCCTGGTCCCTTCCTTTGGCTCTGGCCTGCTTCCCTCTCTCCTTGCACAGTTGGCCTCTCTGGCTAACCACCCAGTCAGATTGTTTTTTTCTTTTCCAGTGCCCGAGAGCAGACTGTCTGAAATTTTAATTTTTTGTAAACAGTCTTTGAAATGAGTGGCCCAACCAATTAGTCTACATTGATTGGCGTGTTTAAGTAACTGATTTAGCTACACAATTCGTGCATTGGGGGGGGGGTTGGGTAATACTGAAAAGCAGAAAAGCACAGGCAGCTTCTGGCAACAAGAGCAAACGGAGTTGGCAACAAGGTGCCATTTCTTTTGTGTCCTGCCTGCCGGTCGAGGTCCTCTCTTTAGGTCTGTTTCACTAGAGATCTTACCTTGTGCAAACTTTCCACCTGTGCTCCTATTGAGAGCAAATTTATCTTCATTGTCAGAAGACCCCGGAAGACCTACTTGAGCCTCTCTTCCTGATTTATACAGAGTAAAAGTAGAGACCTGTTTCTTGACTTTCCTCTCCTGTGTTTCACTTGAAAAGGATAGTGCTGTTTGGATGACTTCTTTTGCCCCTGTAAACAAAACTTCAATTAGCATAAAGGAGCCTATAGGAGTGTTTGATAAGATGCATCTTACTTCACAATTCTTTTCAGGGTGTACAATGACAACATGCTGAAACTTGATCTTAACCACGTTTTTTTAAAAAAGGAAAACTCTGGAATTTCCGTGTTAACTGTTCTCTTCTTTTTAATTATTTTACGCTCTTGTCACTGTAGTCCTAGTGCTTAGCAGAACTTTCATAAATGTATGTGTTATCCTTGCTGTATGGGTGACAGACTAGAGCAGTGATTCTCACAATCAAGTGAGCATCAGTCACCTGGAGGATTTGTTAGAACGCAGCGTTCTGGGTCCCACCCCAGGAGTTCCGATTGTCTGAGGCTGGTGTCGGGCCTGAGATTATTCATTTCTAAAAAGTTTTCAGGCCATGCCAAGGGTCAAGTTCCCAAGTGGTTCCAAGGAACCATACTTTGAGAACCACTGATTTGACATATTGACAATGAAAGGTGTCTGAGCATGTGACGGCTAGATTTGTGGATACAAAGGGAGCCAAAGTCACCGTTTCTGATGAGGATTACGTCTAAACTAGAGCAGTCGTTTAGTTTTCTACCTTTCCCTGCAGTGCAGAAATTCATCATGATCTTTTTTTTTTTTAAGATTTTTATTGGGGAATTGGGGAAGGGGAACAGTGTTGGGGAACTGGGGAAGGGGAACAGCCAAGTTGTTGTTTTTCAATCTTAGTTGTGGAGGGCGCAGCTAGCTCGGCTCCAAGTCCAGTCATCATCCGGCCGCCCATTGGCCACTCGCGGTCACTGAGCTCAAGGTGCTGTGTTCAATCTTAGTTGCAGGTGGGCATAGCCCACCATCTCATGAGGGAGTCAAACCGGCAACCTTGTTAGGAGCATGTGCTCTCACCAGCTGAGCCATCCTGCCACCTGTTGGCAGATCAGCGGCAGCTCAGCTCGGGGGCAGCTCACTGGCCCATGTGGGAATCGAACCGGTGACCGTGTTGCTCAGAGCTCGCGCTCTTAACCAACTGAGCCACTCAGCCGGCCCCATGATCTTCTTTTCTCTTATCTGTGAACCTTTTTCAATTTCTAAGCCTGTTTTTTAAAAAAGTTTCTGAAAGCCTAAAAAACAAGGAAAGAAGTGTTTCTTCTTTCTGCATTTTCTGATAGTTGCATAGGTAATTTGTAATTTGTGTAAAATACAATTTCATTTACTGGATCCACTTCTTCCTCTTGGGAAGGATTTGAGATGGGCTTAACAGAAACTATGAGAAAGAAAAATATACAACTCTCAGCATGATTTACTTAAACTCTCTGAACCTCAGCTTTCTGATGTATGCTGTGAAGATAACAAAACGCATCTCACAAGCTTCCGGTAAAGCTCCAGTGAGGTGGCATAAATGGCATGTCTGAAAGAGCACACAGCAGCACATACTAAGTGATTAATGGCTGTCACAGTTGTTTGTAATGGTAAAATTAGTATAGCCAAAGTATGGTTTGTGTAGAAACAAATCCCAAACTCAGTGATGCCACACAACAGATTTACTCAGAATTTGGGATTAAAAATTCAAATCAACTAAAATCTGTGAAGGCAGTCGTTTAATAGTCAAAGCAACTTCCACTTGCCATCACATTGTATGATTTTACACCGTTATGGAACAGAACCCAAAGGCATCGAGGGATTTTGTTGAAATTTATAAAGGTATTTCATAGCTGACCTCGTCCATTTCCTGTTCATATTCCCTTACCCTCACTACTACACTGCAGGTAGGCCCAACTTCCACCTGCCAGAACCCGTATTTCTTTATCAGAGGGCTTCCTGTGGCCACTGTATCCCGCTCTTCCTCCCAGTGTGTCTGGCTTCAAGTGCTAGGAAATTAGCATTCCCCCAGCAGCCTCCAACCAGTGATGGGAGATGGTGTATAAACACCCCAGGGTCCTCACCCCTGAGTGGGGTAATCCTGAGGCATGTGTTTCATAGGGCTTCCCAGCAAGGCTAGACAACGATCATTACCTGTAATTGCAAGTTTTAATAAGTATACCCTTATAATCTCTATTCCCTTTCCTGCCTACATTCCCCTTCCAATACTGTCTTCACATCACACAAACTACTTCCGCTTGAAAACTCAACTCAGGGTTGGCCTTTGAAGTAACACAAATGGAAGATCCATTGTGTGTATGTGTGTGTATTTCTTTTTTTAATGAATTTGCTTTTTGTTTTTTGTTTTAAATTGGGTAACTGTGTGTTTTTCCAGGACCCATTAGCTCCAAGTCAAGTAGTTATTTCGATCTAGTTGTGGAGGGCGCAGCTCAGTGACCCATGTGGAGATCAAACCGGCAGCCTTGGTGTTATGAGCACTGCGCTCTAACCAACTGGGCTAACCAGCCGCCCCTGTGTATTTCTAACATACATGTACACATTGGAAGTTAAGGAGTGTAAATACCCTCCAACCAAAGACCGACAGTGACCCTCCTATAGCTGAACAAGTGGGGTTTATTACTTTTCATAATGAGAGAAAGAATTCATGCCATGGGGGACGTGTGTACACAACATGGCGTTGTGCAGGAGCATATTCGAGAGAATCTGCTGTAGGGTTTGCGTTTGTGTTAGATTATTTGAGGAAGGGTTTCAGGGTTTTGCATGTTGTCAATGAGTGGGACTAACTGTGATCGGGTAGCTTCATACATTTTTCCCAGGAGGAGGGAAGATGAGAGTGAGGCTGAAGATGGAATTGGTAAAGATGCAGTGGTGCCGTGCCTCATACTGTCCAGGATAAGGGAGTGTTTGGCGCTTTGTGTTTTGGACCATGTTGACATTCTTGTTTGTGTTCTAACATGGTTATGAAGTGGTGCTGTTGTCATGATCAGCCATGGTAACAAAGTAGCCTTGTCTCATGTTGATATATTGTGAGACACTTTAGCTTCAACACAAGCTGACTAAGGCATAGTCGAGAGTACCAGGCCAACCATCTCACATCAGGGGCCACTCTTCTCTTATTCTTATGATTTTTCAGTTACTGAAAGGAACTTTCTTTTGTCAAAATGTGGTCCCAAATAGAGAAATAAGACTTTTCTATATCAATTATCTTTTGATGTAAACACCATCTGTACTGATTTCAATATTATTCATTCATCTAAGTAATTTATAGGTGATTTCAATTGCAGATTATCAGATATTTTTGAACTTAGTATTGAAATATTTGTTAACTTGCTTGTTTCCTATAAAGACAGATAGAGATAGAGGTACATAGATATCCACAAATACATACATGCCCACATACAGACTACTTTTCAAAGTATTCTGATGAAAGATCTGTTACATTCTGATTACAAATGGTTTTTCTTTCAAGTTCTCAATTTTCACTGGACCAAAATTTGTGGAAGTAATTGGAGTCACTGTTGGATTTCTTTTTATGAATCTCATTTGAACAGAGATGTTGTGAGGAAGAAAGCATATGATAGATAGGAATGAATTTGGGAAGTAAAGTCATGGTCTTGCTCTTAAGGGAAAATCCTTTATTCTTTCAGAGAGCTAAAGAAGAGGCCCAGCAGAAGGAAGCCAAAGTCAAACTCCTGACTGAGTCCGTGAATAGTGTCATAGCTCAAGCTCCACCTGCCGCACAAGAGGCCTTAAAAAAGGAACTTGACACTCTGACTACCAACTACCAGTGGCTCTGCACCAGACTGAATGGGAAATGCAAGACTTTGGAAGTTAGTAACTTTTCTTTTCTTTCTTTTTTTTTTAAGATTTTATTGGGGAATTGCGAAGGGGAACAGTGTTGGGGAATTGGGGAAGAGGGACAGCCAAGCTTTTGACCTTCAGTCTTACTTGTGGAGGGCACAGCTAGCTCAATTCCAAGTCCAGTTGCCATCTGGCCACCTGTGGGCAGCTCGCAGCTGCTCAGATCAAGGTGCCGTGTTCAATCTTAGTTGCAGGTGGGCATAGCCACCATCCCATGCGGGAGTCGAACTGGTAACCTTGTTGTTAGGAGCGCATGCTCTCATCAGCTGAGCCATCCTGCCACCTGTTGGCAGCTCAGTGGCAGCACAGCTCAGGCGCAGCTCACTGGCCCATGTGGGAATGAACCGGTGACCCTGTTGCTCAGAGCTCACGCTCTTAACCAACTAAGCCACTCGGCCTGCCCCAGTTATAGCTTTTCTTGATTCTTATCAATTATATGGCAATATATGGGCATTTGTGAAGCACAGTGATTAAGCACATGGACTCTGGCATAAGACCACCCTTAGGCTTGAATTCTTCACTCAGGCACTTACGATTTGTGACTTTGGGACAGTTGCTTACCTTGTGTAAACCTGTATCCTGTCTGTAAAATGAACATACAAATAGTACCTGTTTCATAGGGTGTTGAGAAAATTAAATGAGCTATATTCTATTTAAAGTACTTAGCCTAGTCTCAGTAAGTGTCAGCAGCTATCATTGTAATTCTCATTGTTACCATTATTATTATTGCTAGGTGATAATAATCCTATCAATAAATTTTCTCAGGATTTATAGAAATTGGTCTCTATTTCTCATATGTTTGAATATACGTAAAGTCAAAAGTATCTTAGCAAGAAGGTATTCTGTTGGAGAAGTATCTTTTATTATAATTACCTTTAATAATACATGTGCCCTGTCGAGTTCTTCATAAGACATGTCTAGCTCTTTTTTGGGGGTATGTTACATTATATTTACTTATTATCGTAAGTCTTGCTTTATCTTTCTCACATGCTTATCTGAAAATAGGTGACAAAGAATTCAGATGCCTCAAATGATTACCATGTAATTGCATCAAAAATAAACTATCGCTGCCGCTGAGCTGCCAACAGGTGGCAGGATGGCTCAGCTAAAAATATAAATAAATAAATAAAATAAAATAAAAAATAAACTATCATCCTCCGTGTGAAAATACTGTTTACTAACAGTAAGGATTTTACTGAGGAACAAAAAACTACTACCAAGTGCTAATGCTGCCAGATACAGTTCACTACATGGGCTTTAAATTAAGTCCTCTTCCCCTACATGAACTGACTCGTTTTTGTGAATATAGTTGATAAAGAATGCAAGTGCCCCACTATTGTTGAAAAATGTTATTATTTAGATAGCTTTTTTGTTTTTTTTTCCCTGATATTTATTTAGGCTGAGTGAAATAAGTCAGAAAGAAAAAGTGGAGAGCCATATGACTTCACTCATATGCGGGATATAAAACTGAAACCCTCAAAGGAACAAGACAAACAAAGAAACAAAAACTCATAGACACAGACAACAATTTAGATAGCTTTTTATATTAAGTGTTTGATATTTAAAGGCAAGTACAACTCAGGCCAGTAGAATAGACCTTGGAAAATATTTTAAAAATATATTTATTATACCAGCATCTAAGACACTTCCAGTCTTATAATTCTTAATTATAAAATGTGATCTTTGAGTTTCTCCATTATAAATTTTAATTCCTTCTTTATTTATCAGCCTGTGTCCCTTTTTTCATTTAATGATTTCTTTATATACTAGATTAGTACCTTCGATATGCTCAAAACTGTTACAGTTGCTGAGAATATAAATTAAAATCTCCTCTATAGAGCTATGTGAGTGCTACAGAAAATAGAACAGAGAATGGGAAAGGAAGGAATGACACTGTAAGTCTCAAGAAAGTCACAATTAATTCACTATCATGTTGCATGAGAGAGGAACTTTGCATATCTAGGAAGTTGCTTTCTGTTAATATTTAAATAAAACACAAATATTTTTTATGTTCTTAATTTCTTTTTTTTTCTTTTCAGCTGAGCCATGCTGCCACCTGTTGGCAGCTCAGCAGTAGCTCAGCTCGGGCCGGGAATCAAACCGATGTTGCTCAGAGCTCAAACACTTGAGCAAGCTCTTAACCAACTGAGCCACTCGGCCGGCCCCTTGTTCTTAATTTCTTTACACAATCATTATTCTTTTTTTCCTAGTATTCATATTGTTCATTTAAGATATATTAATCCATCAATCTATTTGGGGGTATGTTTTAAAAAGAGGTCTTTTATTTTCATATTAATAACAAAATTTTCAAGACTTTTTATTGAATTATCCTTCCATTTGTCATCTGTAATGTCACTTCTAAACACCCCTATTGTATTAAAGTTATTAAGTTATTTAGTCCCTTTTTATTCCCTCTCTACTGGTCTGGAATATACACACTATTTATTTTATCTCAGTGGGTCCCTTAATTATTATCTTGCCTACTTTACTCAATAAATCCAGCAATAATAAATATTCTTTGTACCCTTCTCTCAGTGATATACCAGAACCATTAGCATGGTTTAACTCTGAATTTATGTCCATCTTCCATATTATTGTGACACCTTATTTCTTACTCCCTAAATTAGTCAATGCCATTGCCACTGCTGTTGATATTATTAATTATTATTATTAACATTTGTTTAGATTTGCCAATGCTATTTTACCAGTGTCTAGGATAACTTTTGCTTTTTTGTATCTTTCTTTTGTGTCTGTTATTTCATTGAGTGTGAATAGCAAATACTTTCAGACTTTGCATGACTGAAAATGCCTTTATTTTGCCCTCAGTGTTAATTAATAGCCTAACTGCACATCTAATGATACTAGGACAGTTATATTTAACAACACTGAAAAATATTATTTTATTGTCTTCTGAAATTTCTTGCTGTTTAAGAAGTCTACTGTCAAATTATAGTTTCTTTATATTTTTCTCTGATACCCTTTCATTTTCTCTTTTTCTCCATTGCTTTGCAGTTGTTCTATTTTATTTATGTTTAATTTGCTTTCATTTATACTTTGTCACGTGGCATACTAATAAGAACAGAGAGATTAGTTCTCTCTTTGGTGGTTTCCATTATCTTCCTGAGTATTTTCTTTCTCTCAGTCTCTCCATTTCTTCCTAGGGGAACCTTTATTTGATTCATGAAGAATCTCCCCATTCTGTATTCTGATTCTTGATTTCCCTTTAATAGTTTCCATATTTCTATCTTTATCTTCTGGATTCTGGGTAATTTTCTAAAATCTGTCTTCTAATTCTCAAATTCTCTTTTAAACCTCCTATGGCATATATTCATCTCTGTCTATACATGCATCTACTTATATGTGTGCATGTTTGTAATTTTTCAAAGACCATCTTTTCTCTTTCTCAAGTTTTTACTTAGTTATTTTGCAAACCTGTCTCATACGATATTTTGCTTTTGTGTAATTCTATTTCTTCCTTTAGTTAAGCAATTGAAACTTAGGTAATCTATTTAGTTGAGAAGTCTCAAGTTGATGAGAAATACACAGGAAACAGTTTCATCTTTCCAGTATCTAAACCAACCATGTCAAACCTCATTTCCTGCCTAGTAGTTGGATTCTTCATCTGTATTTCAGTCTGATCCCATAAATTTTCATTGACTTTTAATTACTTAGTCTCATTTAAATTTCTTTCTCATACTTTATTAAAATCTCCCACCAATTTAGATTAATCTTGTGGCTTCAACAATTTGTACAGGGGTGGGAGTGAAAAAAAATGGTCTTACATTATCTTCTTCCCACTCACTTTCTGAATAGTGATCTTTTAGGGTTGGTATATGGGACAATAAAGAGGGGAGAAATGTCCTGTTCAACTGATGTCCTTCTCTTGGCTGGCTATAATTGCAATATCCTTTTGTTAACACCCACACACATCTGTGATGATGAGTCTGTTATCACCAGACCCTATAGGTTATTGCCACTGATCTGGCTTGTTCTCTATAGACTCTATATGGTCTGTGGGGATCCCAGTCAGCCTTACTGACATGGAGTTTGAACCCCACCCCCAAAAGATTTCATAGGCATACGTGATACCTTGTAATACTTTTTCTTTTTTTTAGATTTTTTTAAATTGGGGAATTGGGGGAGGGGAACAGCAAAGTTGTTGTCTTTCAATCTTAATTGTGGAGGATGCAGCTAACTCAGTCCAAGTCCAGTCACACAGTTCAGCTCAAGGTGCTGTGTTCAGTTCGTTGAGGGTGGGCGTAGCCACCATCCCATGCAGGAGTCGAACCAGCAGCCTTGTTGTTAAGAGCACACGCTCTATCCTCTGAACCACCTGGGAGGCAGCTCAACTCAAGGTGCCGAGTTCAGTCTTAGTTGCGGGTGGGCATAGCCCACCATCTCAAATAGGCAACCTTGTTGTTAGGAGCATGTGCTCTCACCAGCTGAGCTGTCCTGACACCTGTTGGCAGCTCAGCAGCAGCTCAGCTTGGGTGCAGCTCACTGGCCCATGTGGGAATCGAACCGGTGACCCTGTTGCTAAGAGCTCGCGCTCTTCAGCAAACTCTTAACCAATTGAGCCGCTCGGCTGGCCCCACCTTGCAATATTTAACAGGAATTACAGACTGACTCTTGCCAGGGGCCTTACACCACGTTCCCTTGAGAATTACATATTTTTGACCCATGCTTTTGTTACCTTCGAGAGCAGCGGTTCTCAACCTTCCTAATGCCGTGACCCCTTAATACATTTCCTCATGTGTGGTGACCCCCAACCATAAAATTATTTTCGTTGCTACTCTATAACTGTAATTTTGCTACTGTTATGAATCGTAATGTAAATATCTTTTTGTTTTCCGATGGTCTTAGGTGACCCCTGTGAAAGGGTCGTTCGACCCCCAAAGGGGTCGCGACCCACAGGTTGAGAACTGCTGTTTTAGAGTCTTAGTTACCCACCACATCTCAACTCAGCCTGTGGGCACTGGCAGATCCCATCTTGTATGACCCTCAGGAATGAGAAAGTTGAAAGAGTTGCTTTTGGTTCATCTTTGACCATGCTAGCAGCTCAATAGGGAATGCATGCCCACCATCCCTTCATTAATATATCTACCCGTTTGATGAGCAATACTCCTTTAAATCCTGTAAAGAAAAGGGGCCGGATGAGCTTCCCCTGAATGTGCCCATAAAATGGTGAGAAAAAAGAATTGCCTAACTTTTCGTATTCTCTTCTCTTCACCCCCCATCAATGCCCTCCCCTTCAGCCCCACTCTTTAGACCACGGCTCGTGAAAACCTATTAAGAGAATTTCTCTCATCATGGACTGTAAGGAAGTTAGCCTCATATTTCTTTCTTTTTTTTAAGATTTTTATTGGGGAATCGGGGGATGGGAACAGCGATGGGGAATTGGGGGAAAGGGAACAGACAAGTTCCTGTCCTTTTGTTCTTCAGTCTAGTTGTGGAGGACGTCGCTCACTGGCCCAAGTTGGCACCATCATTGCGCTCTTCCCGGGCGAGGCAGATCAGTCCCCGGCTTCTGGACGGCCGCTCACTGCAGCTGCTGGCCGCTCACGCTGGCTGCTGGCTACACACGGTAGCCCATGGCAACCCACTGCAGCAGGGGCTGCAGGCTATGCCGTCGCTGGCGACTCACAGCAGCCCAGCTCCAGGTTGAGCTGTTGTTCAGCATCTTAGCTGTAGAGGGCAGCATCACTGGCCCTCATATGTGGGATCCAAACTGGGGCCCTCTGGCATCCCAAGCCAGTTCTTAACCATCGCACCACTCGGCCGGCCCATAGCCTCATATTTCTTAAGTATGAACTCTAGTTGCCAATCTCAAGAAAAATAGGTGTGACTGGCAACTTTTACCACCAGACTAAACTTATTTATTATAAAATGGCTTAAAATTGTTGTGTTATCCCTAGGTCATAAGGGGTGGAGTCTACCATTTGTTACAGCTTTTGACAGCCTCTAGTGAGAGTGAATTTCCTCACATGGCCTGCCATTTTTTGTTTGTTTGTTTGTGAGCTCGCCTCTGGTAGGAATTATTTTTACTGGAAAACCTACTCTGGGCCGTTGGAGGGACTTTATGAGTCCTTTCTATCTGTCTCTACCAGGGTTTGAGAGATGTTATGTTCTATCCCCACGTGTGCTGTAAACTTAGGCTTCAACGTCCTATGGACGGATCTTCATTTTCTCACTGAAATCCAAAGGATTCAGTTTCCTTGTTAATTCCTTATACTCCAGTAGGTGGGAATTTCATAGTGCTCGTTTCCAGGATACGTAGAACATAGTGTTTTCCATCTTTCTGGAATGCATGAAACCAATGCCTCATTTCCCATCCCAAGTTACTGTTGAATACCCTAGCTTTTATGTCACATACCCTATTCTGATAACACCAGTATTTCGGTAAGCTTGGTTTCCCAACCTGTACCTGCACTTGACTTCCCTCTTTGTTTCTGCCACCTGAAGATTTTTCAGACTTGTTTCGTAGATACGCTGTGAATTTAAAATGTTTTCCTTCACATTTTATTCAGCGTTTCAATATGACCGATGCCAGGGTCAGGGGATTACCACATCAGCTCCATTTACCATTTGGAACAGAAGTTTCCTTTTTTGTTTGTGCATGCGTCAAAGTCAATTTCAATTCTGTAATTTCAAACTACTTTTCAGTTCCAAACTGTTAAGCTTAGCAGTTATTCTAAGGGGTTTCTAGGTCCAGTTCAGGCTGCACGACTGTAATTTATTTTGCCAAGGTGACCTGTAAAGCCAGGACATTCATCCCCTCCACTTGTGTCCTTCAGATGTATTGAGGACACAAGAGGCCATCCATCCTGATGGCTAAATCAGCAAAGTAGTTCATTACCTCAATCTGCACCAAAGTTAATAAGACACATTACCAATTGCATCTCCTTATCTTCAAAGCTCTAACGTACCCTCGGGTATTTAAGGAGGTATTTATTATTTTCCCACTGGGATCTTTGCCCAGAAGGAAGACAGGCTGTACCAGCAGGAGCTGGAAGTGCCCCAGATTTAAGAGTTCTATCACCTTTTAAAGCGAAATACTTCATTTCACTTTTTTCTGATAAACTGTATATGTAAAATACCAAGCAAGTATTGGTTGGCTGGCAAAGCAGGTTAGACTGATACGTTTCCTCAGTTAGAGAGAGAATGTCTTCCATCATTTATTTGAAAGGCCTAGGCTCAAAGGTGAAAATATGGGAAATCGGATAGAATTTTAGTTTCTGCTCAAATAAAACTTTCTTTCTAAGCTTCATCTTTGGTAGAGGTGGGGTGGGGGATGTAGCAGGTGGTGCTAATTGCGCTATTGTAGTTATAGGTTTGCCCAATATTTACAATCTCAAAGCTAATGGAAACTGACTATTTTTATATTCTTAGCTTCTAGTGCATCTTCCTGCTTTTTCCCCGACAGACATAACCCATAATCCAGAAATTTGCCTTTATTATTCCTGTGTTTAAAAATATTTTATCACATGGATATGAATGCCTAAACAATGTATTGATAAATTTTGTTTGTTTTGAGCATTACAAAAAATGGTAACCTATAATATATAGTTTTCTAGGGCTTACTCTTTTTGCCCCAAATTTTTGTGTCTGAGATTCATCTATAGTGTTCTGTTTGATGAATTTATTTGTTTTTACTTCCTTATTCTCTGTTTAAATGTGGCGCACTGTACGAGTATATCTGTTCTCCTGCCAGTGCATATTAAGATTGTTTCCTTTCTTTTTAAAAAATTCTGGCTATTACAAAAAATGCTGAAATGTACATTCTTGTGACTGCCTTTGTTATCCATGCAAATCAGTTTCTCTGAGGATATATACTGAAAATTGGAGTTGCTAGGCTGTTGGGCATGTGGATATTTATCTTTCTGAGAATGACAAATTATTTTCCAAAATGGTCATTCCAATATACACACCCACCAGCAATAAATACAAATTTATGTTAATATATACCTTCTGTCACACTTAAAAGTGTCAAACTTCTCATTTCTATTAGTCATTGTGGTGTAAATATCTCATTGTAATCCTGACTTACATTCCCCTGATTACTGAATTTGAATGTATTTTCATATGTATATTGGATATACATATATATTTTTCTTTGAATACTAGTTCAGGCTTTCCTTCCCTATCCCAAGGTCAGAAAAATACTCTTCTATATATTCTGTTAGCGATCTTAAAGTTTTGCTTTTTTATGTATGAGTTCTTTTGTGTATTAATCAGTTTTTTTTCAATGTATATCAAAGCCATTTTAACATAGTCATATCCTTGAAATAGTTAGTAGTTATATTTCTGATACTGTACCACAGGAAATAATTTGAAATATGGAAAAAATCCATACTCATGATGATGTTCACAACACGTTTATAGTAGCAAACAAAAATAAAAATAGTGTAATGATTCAATAAAGGTTAATTGTTAAAGAAACAAAAATATGGCCACTTAAATGAAACCTAGATTTTTATTAAAAATGTCTTCTTAGTATTATGGAAAAAATCATATGATGTAATGTTTAGTGACTAGCACTATAGTTAAATCCAAAGTTTAATTTTTTAATTAAATTTATGGGGGTGACATTGGTTAGTAAAATTCTATAGGTTAGCGGAGGTCTCAGAAAGGGGTAATAGTTGATGTGTTGGGATGTTAGGTTTACATATGCATTTTTAGATTTGCGTTTCTTTTTCTTTCTCTCAGATTGTAATGTTGGTGAATCATTTGTTTATTTCAAAAAGTAAATCACTGAATCTTGGATTTATTTATGTAATAAAATGTTTCCCTAATGACGTGTAGTTATAGATGTATTAGATGATCAGATTGACTAGTTGCACTTTCAATGATCTACTGGAAAGGAAAGGTGCAGTCTAAAATAAATGTTATATTTTTAGAGGTTTTACAAATGGAAACGGCAAAGTCTCCCAATCATGTTTCTTTTGAAATATTTCACCTGGGATATATATTTCTTTCTTAGGAAGTTTGGGCGTGTTGGCATGAGTTACTGTCGTACTTGGAGAAGGCAAACAAGTGGCTAAATGAAGTAGAATTCAAACTTAAAACCACTGAAAATATTCCCGGTGGATCTGAGGAAATCTCCGAGGTGCTAGAGGTAAGTTGTGAATTAATCTTAAAGGATGACCATTTATGTGCTGTATTGAAAGATGTCAAGTACCGAATAAAAAATAAACTCAAAGAAAACGGCACCTAGAGCCTAGTTGTTACGCCTCCTTCAGCCCTGGCACTTGGGGCAAAACCTTTGTTTCCTCTAAGAACCTTCCAGTCTCAAGGTTTTAAAAAGGATTTAAATAACCTTACAGAGGACATTTGCTGTTTGCTCTATCACTAAGTTCTGTGTTGACACTTTTCTTTATCTGCTTCAATCTACTACAGAACTGCAAAGACATTTTAGTTTGCACGCTTTTGCTCCTTTGGAGTAGGGCTTAAAGAGGTTAATAATGTAAAATCGTATTTCTGGTGTAAAAGCTACATTTTTTTGTATTGGGACATATTTTAAAATTATTTAAAATAATAAGTGTATACCTTACAGAATGTTTTGAGGTGTTAAATGGGTATGCTTTGATATTAGAAATATATCTTTAAAATGTTCATACATTTTAGTAGTTACAAAATGTTAGTATATTTTCAAGTTTTATTTTGAAGACCTTTAAAAAGTAAAATTTAAAGGCTTTTGTGTGTATAAGCTTTGATTTATATGAACTTCTGATAATTAATTATGTTCTCTGCTTTTTATTGTACTCCTGGTTAATCCTTTACATATAATGAATATGTGGTTTTAGCATATGTATTGTATGTAGAGACATATGTGGTGCAGCCCTTGTGTAAATATGCTAAAATGAGGTACATAAATTAATCAAAATGTAAAGAAAATGCAAAATGTTTCTTTAGACAGAATAGAATGTGGATCCTCCAATGTCCCAGCAGAAATCTATACATCATTATATCCGATTTCCTTATTTTCATGAGAGAATTGTAAAACCTGAAGAGATAGCAAGGAACAATGAGAGAGGTCTCACGTGGACTGTAATTTTGGCCCTGTCCTATTTAGAATTGTTCATTGACCAGACATTCCCTTGTGAATCAAGAATGCTGTGCATCTTCCAAAAAAGATGAAGACACTTACATTAGTAAAAGAATGGTGGACAGAACAAGGAATGACCTATGAATGATCAGATCGAAGGACCTCATTCTCATTTTTATTGCCTCCCAGTCGAAAGATGGCGGCTCTACCTCTAAGCCACGTATACATGAAAACATGTAAAGGGCAAAGGGCGTTCTTCTAAAGAGACTGTGCCTTTTCTTTTTTTTTTTAATTTGGGAAGAGAACCTCTTGAAATTCTACCTATATCTACTGTCAGAATCATGTCACTTCACCATCACTAGCTGTAAGAGAATTTGAGTATTTTACCTTTTCAGATGTTAGAGTAGAGGACATCAAAGAAGAAGGTGGCTGTGAATCATTTTTAACTATTTCATTCCACAATCTTGCCATAAAGTCATGAAGATTTACTTACAGCAACATCATCTTTTTTTGAAATGACAGTGATCTTCCACATTTATTATCCCAATTAAATATTGTTTTAAATTGCTTGTAAGTTAATTATATGTAAAGCAAAAGATACTGAGCATTTTGTGTTAATTCAATGTATTTAGAAAAAGAAGAGCAATAGTAATTATTGCCAATGTGTTTCAGTCACTTGAAAATTTGATGCAGCACTCAGAGGATAACCCAAATCAGATTCGCATATTGGCACAGACCCTAACAGATGGCGGAGTCATGGATGAACTGATCAATGAGGAACTTGAGACATTTAATTCTCGTTGGAGAGAACTACATGAAGAGGTATGACGATGAGAGTGAAAAATCTCTTTAATCTGATTTGCATAAACATCTAGTAAATACTTTTAGGTTTTTCAGATAAAATGAAGAATATTTAAGTATTAGCTCAACTTCCAGGTTTTAGAAACTGTCATGTGCTAGGCATGGCTGAAATATTAATCATTTTAATTTATAAAATGTTATGAAGTATGGGTCTTAACAGGAAATTGAGACACACCAAATATGGTAATGTGCTCAAGCCCACAAACGAGTAACTAGTCTAGTGTTCAAACTCAGATCTTGTCTGACCACAAAGTTCTTTACCATAATCAAGATTAACCAATATGTGTAGGTATCCTCACATCTGTCTATCTCTCTGTCTCTTACTTTCTTTTCTCTGTCTGTCTTTTTCTCTACACATTTGTTGCACACACACATTTGTTGTGGTCACATGTAACCTGTTATTAAGATATGTGATTCTATTAGTACCCAAGATACTGGATACTGGTTCTTCTTCCAAAATAATACAAAAGAGTTTTTATTTATGTAATAGAAGAATTTTTACATTTAAAAATTCATACACGATATGAATTTTTCAAATTGCAATGAAAAGAAAATAATATATTCCTCCCAATGAAACAATGTTTTGCATATGCACGATTGTTTGTCAAGAAGGAAAAAATAGATCATTATGAAGTCTAGTTTCATATCCATTTACCAAGTGCATCTGTGACATGTGAAATACTGTTCTAAGGTTCTCAAGTTCCTATCCTTCATTACTTATAGACATTGATTAGTTAAACAAAAAGTCATTGATTTCTTAGTATTTTTAGGACATGAAAACAAATAATATTCTTATACAATGCAAAAAGTTGTGTTAGAACTTATCGCAGAGGATGAGAAAACTCAAGAAGAGTGCAGACACGCGTGTGGGTCAGCACAGGGATGTGTTTGGGATAGCTTGCCTAAAGAAAATGAGTTGGCAATTAGTTGTGAACGTTTTAAAATTAGAGTAGGAGGCAGCTAAATGGGCAATTGTAGGAGGACGGTTCCAGGCAGGTGACACCAATACATACAAGAATTGGAGGGGCCGCCGAGTGGCTCAGTTGGTTAAGAGCTCTCTCAAGAGTGTGCACTCTGAGCAACAGCAGTTCAATGCCCGGCCCTAGTTGAGCTGCCACTGAGCTGCCAACAGGTGGCAGGATGGCTCAGCTAAGAAAAAAAAATTGGAAGGATGGGGGTGGTTATATATGCAAATCTGCAAACCACTTGGGTTTGCTAGAGCATAAAATGCAAATGGAGAAGTGGCTAAAGGTGAACCTGAGCAGGTAGGCATGAGCAAGATTGCTGAGGGAGACCTGTGCTTCACAAACAGCCGGGTCTACAACCATGTGCTCAGGGAACAACTGAAGGTTTTCACGGAAGGCGGAAGAGAAGAGTGATACCATGATCAGGTTACATGACCTCTGAGGTGACTGTGGTGAAGGGGTGGTCTGAGAGATAGGGAGATGGCAGGCCCTGAGACCAAATAAGTAATCATTTTAGCTCAGTTGAAGGCAAGGCTATTCATTGGTGAGAGGTACAGAGAAAATGAAAAATCTAGGAGAGCATCTAGGTTTCTGATTTCGTTGATTGGGTATCTAAGATGTTTCCTAAACATGATGAGAAATAAGAAAAAAAGCAAATGTGGGGGTGAAAGATCATGTGTCACTTTTTTACCCCTGTGGACCCCGAGTTACCTGCTTAAGTTTGATACCAACCAAAACCAATCCTTAAGTCAAGGACTTAGGTGCTGGTGGCAACTATGCATAGGTCATTTCAATTTGGATTTTGTTATGGAATTGGAATGTGCTTTTATTTATATTTGGATATTAGTGTCAGGATAGAAATTGTAGTTCAAGCCAAAAACGTGAAACACAGATTGTAAAACTGACGTTGGTGAAGCTATGAAAAGACCCCAATTTCAATCTTGAGCAGTGTTCTGAGTCTGTCTATTCACTCTCTAACCTGATTTTGGCATTAGCCTCATTTATGTACTACTCTTGCAAACCTTCCGTACCACGAACACCATTTAGGTCTTGATATTTCAGAGGTCATTGGTGTGGAACCTGGCATTTCCCCCAAATAAATAATAATTCAAGTCAGCACCAAACCATGATTGAACACCTATGCTGCTGTATCCAAAATGAGCTTTTAAAACATTAAATATTGGGTTGGACTAGCCCCTTGCATTAGTCAGGGTCAGACAGGTCCCAGAAACTACCCAGTAACTTGCACAAGGAAGGTTTAACAACACCAGTTAAGTTACTCTTTACAGGGACTTAGTTTTTGAGAGGTAATAGAAGAGAGCTCAAAAGAATCCCCACGAGCTAAGGAATATAGTACCCAAGGGAGGAACTGATTTGCAAAGCGAGGAGCTCTAGCCAAGGCCTGGATTCAAACCTGTTTGGAAGGAGTGTGTTTCCTGCCTGTGGATGGCAAAAAAGTTCACCAGGATGACCTCACCCAGAGCTGGTACATGATCAGGGGCTGAAGCTTGTGTGAAGGGAACCTTGGAGTGGGGTGTATACAAAGCTTGTAGGGAAGTAATGGGGTGGGGTGGGGGATGCTATTGGAGTTGCTGGGAAGCTTGATGGGGTGCCCGGTGGTCTCCCTGGGAAGCTATCTGCAGTAGGTGCTGCTGAATTTAGGGAAACCAGCTTGGGCTCTAGGACTCTGCCCATAGATTTGCTACGCATGCTGAACTTGCCACTGGGGCACCCACAGAACTTGTCTGAAGACACCTGTAGAGGGTGCTGATGAAGTTTATGGAGTAGGAGTGGGAAACAGCTGAAGTTAGCTCTGCTGGGCATCCCACAGGCCAACCCAGAGCCACAAAAACAAGGAAGAAGTAAAAACACACTGGAATGGAGAAACCTGTGCCGGACCCCCCCCATGTCACTCCAGCGCCCTCTACTGACAAAGTTTAGCATTACGCCGGCTGGCAAAGAGTGATTCCAGTATCACCAACAGATCAATGTTGAAAGGCAATATATTGATAACTGGCATATCTCCCTACAACTCATTGGGTATGTGACCTTGGGTAATATTTTGCAAGTTCCTATTTCCTTATATGTGATAACAGATCCTGTTTCATAGGGTTCCCCTGGGTAACATAGAAGAAGACACTGCATAGAGAGGGCTTACTATATAGTGCTGGGAACATAGTACATATTCAATAAAGGATCGGCACTTTTATTTTTACTAAGCTGTTTGCTGTAGTACCTACCCTAAAAACAGCGTGTGTGTGTGTGTGTGTGTGTGTGTGTGTGTGTGTCATCAATGACAGGGATAGACAAATACATGTATTCCGATATGAAAAACAATGAAATGTACCCACCTCCATTATTTAAATAAAATGTAGAAGACTGACAAAAGGACTTCTTTTGTCATCTCCTTAGTGTTAAACGACAGGAGTTCTCCATTTCTACTTCAACAGTCAATTAAGCAGAATCCTATGGTAGCAATAAATAAACTTGAAACCACTATCAGTCCTAGCTATGCTTATATAAAATATCTAGCCACACAGAACCTGAGAGTAGTTTGGCAACAAAAATAAAGCATGTTTGGTGCCTTAGAGCTTTGCAGAAATCCACATCATGTTACAGATTATAGCCTCAAATTCTGTTGTGCTGGTCTTCAGTAAGCTGATGTGACTTTCAAGATAGGAAGCTGAGTGAAAACGATGGGTAGTAACAGTGTTTAACTATTTCTTGGGGTGTAATCTGGATTCTTTGATCAGTTCCAAGCTACTTGTGTAATCGAAACACACGTAATAATTTGTTAGCTAAATCAATCATTTGGATGTTCTCATTGAACATTTCGTTGAAAAGACTGGTGTTTTGATGAAGTGTAGATGAAGAATTGGGATAAATTTTCTAATGGGTTGGGAAAATATAATAGAGTTAAAGAGTTTTTAGACTGATTTATTTTCCAAAAAAATCCATGTTGTGCATTAGATTGTTATAGTCAAAAATCCTGAATTTGTTTTAAGCCATAGTTTTCTTGATTTTTTATTTTTGGTTGGCTACAGAAAAATTGTTTTTCCATTAATAAACACAGTACACTTTCACTTGAAGATGAGCCTTAGCCCATTTTCTTCTCAATTAAATGCCTATGTCAGAGGCTTGTGGGTTTCTTTATTGCCTACCTAATGTTTCTTAGAGCCACAATTATACAGAGCAAAGGTAACATTCAATTGCCTGCTAAATCAATCACACAACCAGAGGTTTTATTGCCTATGAATATTTAAAAGTGATATGCTAGATCCCATTCCTAATTTCAGAGTGTGAGATTGCATTCACATAAGTAATACCTTATCACCATCCCTTGAAAAGGCATCCTTCACTCTGGATAATCACATGGCACTATATTTTCTACTCACAGTCATGGCTTGAAAGATGGTAAGCAAACTAGGAAAGAGCTCCCCAAATCATCTAATTTTGCAACTCACTACAGAGGAACCAAGCCATAGAAGATGTGTTAGTGGTACAGCAGCATGCATGATAATAGCGATAATAGTGTGATGGTTACAATGGCCCACCTGCTCTAAGGGCCCCGCATGCATCTTCTCATTCATTCTCACAGTAACCTTGCGGTATAACGTCTTGCACGTACCCATTTTACAGATGTGAAAGGGGATCAAATGCCCCAGAGCCAGTAAGAAGTTATCGAGCATTTAGAGCCAAGGTTCTTTGTGCTTGAGCTCGTGCCTATGACCACTGCACCACATGACCTCCTATCTCAGTGATTCTTTCCTTATATTAAACTGAAAGCTGCCTGGTAAGAATTGAATATTACAATTAACGAGTGTCCCAGTTTCTAAGGAATGCTTACAACATAAGCTTAAAAGTATTAGCATGACTAATTAAAATAAAGCATTTTAGAATCTTAAATATTAAAATCACATATTTAGAGTCTAAAGTCTTCACCAGTTTTCTTGTATTTTTAATTAAAGTTTATTGGGGTGACAATTGTTAGTAAAG